TGAACTTCGTGAAAGTTAAGTTTTCACTACAAATTGGACGTTGGGGTGAATGCCGTGTATTGGCTGAAACCTTGGGCAGATTTAAATGTCTTCTCAAGTATCTTACTGAGAGGCAGCACAAATCTTTTATTTACTACACCAATATTGAACGTGTGTGAATCCCTGGATCAGATCAAAGATGAACTGGCAAAATTACTTGGAATTGTGCCACTCCAAGTAATCAAAATGAAAATTAAATCCCGTCCTGGCGATTCGCGCAACGGGATTTCTAATGATTTTTATTTAGTTCACTTCAAGTATAGTGAACTAAACGACCTTAAGGCCTAAGAAAAAGCCAGCCTTATACTTCATGTTCGAGTGAAGTGGGAACACTTCAGGAAGACTGGAGGAAATTTCCAAAACCTCACCCAGTGCCGTAAGTGCCAGGGATGGGGTCAAGGAGCTAAAAATTGCTACATGCCAGCTAAATGCATGAATTGTGGTTATTCCTCTCACGCAAAGGACGACTGACCTGTGAAGGAAGATCCTAAGAAATTTAAATGTTCAAATTGTGGTGAAAACCACAAATCCAATTTTTGGGAATGTAAGACTCGCAAAGCGAACCTACAATCTTGTTCTAAGCGACAGGTAGGAAACTATCCACGTTCCCGAACAGGTACAAATTCCTCTGCTGCTAACAACGATCAGTGCTGTTAACAACGGTCAGCTAGCGGCGCCGGTGGTGTAGTGGTAAGCGTGATTACCTCTCACCCCAGCAGGCCTGGGTTCAATCCCAGTCGGCACCGTCGGGATGTTCTGAGGCATAACATCTCTGATCACGCCTTCCTTCGGAAGGGAAGTAAAGCCGTTGGTCCCCGGTTCATGAGGTGATGGGTCGATAAGGAAAGGGTCCAGGCGTGGGAGCTGCCTCCCTGACGGCGTCGGTAGCATTGGTGCTCAGCACGGAAAACTAGATCGACGTAAAAAAAATCCAAGGAAAAAAAAACAACGGTCAGCGAGGAACAAATTCTACATTCGTACCCGTAGGTACAAATATCACCCCTGCTTCAAATTTTTCATCTGTACCTACTCCCCTCGCTGCTATCAATTTTCAGCGAGTTAATGGAGCTACCTATGCTGCTATTGCAGCGGTTAGAAATCAAAATACTAACCAAAGTCATTCTAACGGAAATTTTGACAATTTTGACTTAGGAAGCATTACTGCCCCTAAAATGGAATTTTTACAGAAATCATTAATTGACATGATTTCTGATATGCTTAAATCTAACTCCATGTTTGATGCTATTCAAACTGGAGTAAAATTTGCAAATAATATTGTCATGACTTTAAAATTCAGTAATGGATTTTAAAGCATTAAACATTTTAAATTGGAATGCTCGATCTCTTAAAGATAATGAAGACGAGCTATTTAACTTTTTGAGACTTCATAACGTGCATATTGCCGTTATAACTGAAACGTTCCTTAAACCTGACCATAAGGTTAAGAAGGACGCAAATTACTTGATTTATAGAAATGATCGTCTTGATGGACCCTGTGGTGGCGTTGCCATCATTGTTCATAGACGAATCAAACATAAAATTCTTTCTTCATTTGAAACCAAAGTTTTTGAAACTTTTGGAATTTCTGTTGAAACAAAACTTGGACATCTTACGTTTATAGCTGCCTATTTGCCATTCCGATTCGTAGTCCAGCAAAAGAATTTTCTCAAGGGTGACCTACAGAAACTTACCCGTCATAGGTCTAAATTCTTTATTATTGGCGATTTTAATGAAAAACACCGCTCATGGAATAATGCTCAAAGCAATTCCAATGGTAATATTCTGTTTGATGATTGTTCTGCAGGTTATTATACTATTCAATATCCAAACAGCCCAACATGCTTTTCTTCAGCAAGAAATCCCTCAACTTTTGATGAGGTCTTAACTGATTCATGGCAACTTTGTAGCCAATTGGTTACTCATGCTGACTTCGGTTCTGATCACCTTTCAGTAACTTTTGAAATATTCCAAGAAATAATTTGTAATCCCAACAGCTCTACTTTCAATTACCATAGAGCTGATTGGGAGCAATATCGAACATTTATGGAATATAACTTTGATCCAAACATTCCTTTGCAAACCAAAGATGAAATTAATTATGCTCTTGAATCTCTGACTACTTCTATAGTTGAAGTAAGAGCTGCCTCAGTACCAAAATGCGAGGTTAAATTCGATTCAATTATAATAGACGACGATCTTCAGCTATTAACGTCGCCGGTGGTGTAGTGGTAAGCGTGATTACCTCTCACCCCAGCAGACCTGGGTTCAATACCAGTCGGCGCCGCCGGGATGTTCTGAGGCATAACATCTCTGATCACATCTTCCTTCGGATGGGAAGTAAAGCCGTTGGTCGCCGGTTCATGAGTTGATGGGTCGATAGGTAGGGTCCAGGTGTGGGAGCTGCCTTCCTGGCACGTCGGTAGCATTGGTGCTCAGCACGGAAAACAAGATCGACGGAAAAAACAAACCAAAGGAAAAAAAAATAATAAATCTTCAGCTATTGATCCGTCTTAAAAATGTCCGTAGGAGACAATTTCAAAGAACACGCGATCCTGCCATGAAAGTTATCTGGAGGGATTTGCAAAAACAAATTAAAAAGCGATTCTCTGGCCTGAGGCACAAAATTTTTGAAAATAATGTTTCTAAATTAGACCCAAGTTCCAATTTTTTGTTGGAAACTCACAAAAAATTTGAAAAAAAAAACCTCAAAAGCCTATTCCAGCGCTGAAAGAAGGTGGTAAAATTTTAATAAAAAATTTGGCAAAAGCTCAGAAACTTGCTACACAATTTGAGAGTTCCCATAATTTCAGTTTGGGTCTTACTAGTCCTATTGAGAATCAGGTTGCTCGGGATTATCTGAATATTTTCTCTCGGTGAATTTTTTTTAATGATTCCTGGGGAACTGATTTGGACGAAGTAAGGTCTATAACTAAAAAGTTGCATAATATGAAAGCTGCAGGTGATGATGGAATTTTCTATATCCCCATCAAAAAACTCCCAGAGAGTATCGTGTCTTTCTTTGTAAAATTATTTAACAGAAGTTTCCTTTTGGCATACTTTCCTGATAAATGAAAAAATGCAAAAGTTGTTCTAATTTTGAAGCCGGATAAAAATCCAGCTGATGCTTCTAGCTACCGTCCAATAAGTTTGATTTCTTCAATAAGTAAACTTTTTGAAAAGATAATTTTAAATAGAATCATGCTTCACATCAATACGAACTCATTTTTTGCAGATGAGCAGTTTGGATATCGCCATGGGCATTCAACTACTCATCAACTCTTAAGAGTTACCAATTTAATTCGTTCAAACAAATCGGAAGGCCACTCAACTGGAGTTGCTCTTCTAGACATAGAAAAAGCATTCGACAGTGTTTGGCATGAAGGTTTGATGGCGTAATTGAAAAAGTTTAATTTTCCACTTTATATTATGAAATTAGTTCAAAATTATTTAACTGACAGAACTCTGCAGGTAAATTATCAAAATTCCAAATCTAATCGATTACCTGTTAGAGCAGGAGTTCCTCAGGGTAGCATTCTTGGGCCTATATTGTATAAAATTTTCACTTCGGACCTCCCTGCTTTGCCTCAGGGTTGCCACAAATCTTTGTTCGCTGATGACACAGGCATTTCCGCTAAAGGAAGCAGTCTTCGTGTTATTTTCAGCAGACTGCAGAAAAGTTTAGATATTTTCTCTTCTTATTTAGAAAAAATGGAAAATTTCTTCCAACGCTTCCAAAACTCAACTTAAAATATTTCAACATAAGCCTAGAGCTTCCTTTTTGAAGCCTAGTTGTAGTCACATAGTCACTATGAACGGAGCTCCGATTTCCTGGTCTAACCAAGTGAAATATTTTGGATTAGTACTTGGCCAAAAATTAACTTTTAAATATCACATTGAGGGCATTCAAGCCAAATGTAACAAATATATAAAATGTGTGTATCCTCTTATAAACAGGAAATCCAAACTTTGCCTGACGAATAAACTTCTAATATTTAAACAAGTTTTTAGACCGGCCATGCTTTACGCTGTGCCAATATGGTCTTGTTGTTGCACTACCAGGAAAAAAGCACTTCAAAGGATTCAGAACAAAGTTCTGAAGATGATGTTGAAGGTGCCTCCCTGGTACAGTACTACCGAGGGACATCGAATTTCGAATGTTGAGACTTTAGAACAAATTTCCAACAAAATAATCTCTTGGGGTATTCTGGGATTTGGACCTAGATGTTTTCGCGTTTTCTGTAACGCACCGTGCGGAGGTTAAAGAGTATTTGTACGACGGTAAACGGCCCACGAAGCGGATCGTCCTCAGCTGCGTGATGGGTCTTTTCGATCCCCTCGGACTGTTGTCACCATTCACGATTCACGCCAAGGTTATCATACAACATCTCTGGCGGAATGGCTGCGAATGGGACCAGGTAATCGATTAGCAGAGTTGGTGCTTGTGGAAGCAGTGGACCAAGTTACTGCCCGAAGTAGAAGCCTTACGAATTCCCCGATGCTACCTGGGAGACGCCGTTTCTTCATCAGTTGAATCACTCGAGTTACATGTTTTCACTGACGCGAGCGAGCACGCTTATGGCTGCGTGGCGTACCTACGGTCAGTCATCAATGGAACGGTGAGGTGTAGTCTAATCATGTCTCGAGCTAAGGTAGCACCTCTAAAGCGGCAGTCAATGCCTAGACTGGAATTGATGGCTGCGGTTCTTGGAGCCCGAATGAGCCAAACCATTATCGAAACGCATTCTCTCCGAATCGGTCGCACTGTTCTATGGACGGACTCTCGAACTGTACTATCGTGGCTACAGTCAGATCAGCACAGATTCAAGCAATTCGTTGCATTCAGAGTGGGTGAAATTTTGGAATTAACCTGAATGCGAGACTGGAAGTGGGTGCCCACGAAGCAGAATATCGCGGATGTGCTCACCAAGTGGGGTCGCGGTCCTCCATTGCAAAACGATTAGGAATGGATTCATGGTCCTTCAGTGCTATACCAATCGAGCGATCAATGGCCGTCTTCCGAACCGATCGAAGAAACCGTGGAGGAAACTAGACGAGTTATGCTGTTCCATGCGGTGGTCGAAGCGGAAACTGTTTCCAGTTGGACAAAACTTGTGCGTGTGACGGCAACCGTACTGCGTTTCATTTCCAATTGCCAACGAAAAAGGGCCGGGTTGCCAATCGTAACCTGCCAATCTACGAATCGTCAACGACGATTAATTAAGGCGGAATATTCGACAGACAAGAAACCACTTCAACAAGAGGAGCTTCAGAAAGCGGAAATTATTCTGTGGAGGCAGGCACAATACGAAAGCTTCCCAGATGAGATGAACACACTTACGAAGAATTTGGAACGCAGCCCGGGTCAACGACTGGAAAAGATCGAGAAGTCTAGCAGTCTCTACAAGCGATCGCCAGTGCTAGATGAAGAGGGAGTCCTGAGAGTTCGAGGCCGGTTGGAAAATAACGAAGAGCTACCCTTCGACAAGAGGTATCCGATCATTCTGTCAGGGAAGCATGACATCACCAAGAAGTTGATACTGCATTTCCACAACAAGTTCGGCCATGCAAACAGAGAGACCGTGTTCAATGAATTACGGCAGAAATTCTGGATACCGAAGGCACGCGCTGCAATCCGGCATGTAACGAAGGAATGTGTATGGTGCAAGGTGAATCTCTATGTACCGTCGGTTCCAATGATGGCACCGCTACCAGTTCAACGCACCACCCCTCACTTACGTCCATTTAGTGCAGTGGGCGTTGATTATCTTGGTCCGGGCGAAGTCACGGTGGGGCGCCGAAAGGAAAAGAGGTGGATCGTCGTATTTACTTGCATGGCTGTGAGAGCCGTACATCTAGACGTGGTACATAGTTTGAGCATTCAATCCTGCCTGATGGCAATCAGGAGATTCGCGTGCAAACGTGGCGTACCAGAACAAATCTTTTCGGACAACGCCACCTGCTTCCGTGGAGCGAACACTGCGATGATGGAGACGATGCAGGGAATAAATATCGAGTGTGCTGAAAAAGTCACTTCGGCTGTCACCGCGTGGCATTTCAATCCACCTAGTACTCCACACATGGGTGGAGTCTGGGAGAGGATGGTGCGATCTGTCAAAGAAGCCTTGCGAGCGTACGAAGACGGACGGAAGTTAACCGACGAGATCCTTTCAACGAGCTTGGCCGAAGCGGAGGATATGATAAATACTCGACCGTTGACGTACGTTCCTCAGGAAGTAGCCGACGAAGAAGTCATCACACCGAACCATTTCCTACGTGGAAGAACGATGAGTACGGACATGCTACTGAAAGACTCTGTGGACTTTGCTGAAACCTTGCGGAACGTCTACAAGCGGTCAGAATATTGGGCAAACAAGATGTGGGAGCGTTGGTTGAAAGAATACTTGCCATCGCTTATCATCGCACAAAGTGGCTCGAGGACAAGAAGCCTCTGGAAATCGGAGACTTAGTGTTCGTAGTCAATGGAAAGAACAGAAGAATTGGGTACGAGGAAGAGTTCTGGAAGTTATTCAGGGAGCGGACGGAAGGATTCGTCAGGCTGACGTGAAGACGGCTGATGGCAAGGTGCACAGGCGTGCTGTGGCGAATCTAGCGGTGTTGGAAATTGAGTCAGGTAAATCCGGAAGTTCCGGAGGAGACACCGGATGTTACGGGCAGGGGATTGTTCACATCGCTGGGCAGTAGCTGTTGGTGTCATAGCTGAACCCCGAAAACTGACAGTTCAGAATGAGAATAATGAATAAGAATGAAAATAGAATTAAACAAAACCTAGAGAAAAACCCAATCGCATATTGAGCTCGTGGATTGAATTTAGTTCTTTATCGGAAATAATATTAAAGTGTAAGAAAACGAAAGGTGATAGTTTTATTGAATTTATTTAAAATACTGTAAGTACCTACATGAAACGAAAAGTAAAAATTACGATTATTCATGGAATGTTAAATAACAGGAGGAGTACAGTAGGAGAGGATTGTAAAAGGAGTAGGAAAGGACCAGGAAGGATTGGAATCGTTAGGAAGAAGGAGACTATTTGAATAGGTGTATCGGTTAATGAAACTAAAAACCATATGTTATTGTTTTAATACATTTCAGTTTTTGATCTGCTCCAAAAGTTGCTGCAAAATATATACATCATCCGAACATAGACAATAATTTCAAGCAAAAATCGTTGCAATCCTCAATTGCAACGATTAATTCCCTTTATACTTAGATAAGATTTAGTTTTGCGGAGCCAAGATCAGTAATGTTTGATTTACATTTTAAATAGCAGTATTTCTAGGTTAGTTTTGGGTACCAATTACTCGTGGCGGGCTCGAATTTCGATTGGAAGGATCTAGGTAGGAAACTAGTTTCTGAAGCCTCCTTCAGATACTACTCTCGGACGTGGAGGGGCAAGTAGCAAGGCAGGGACAATGTAAAAACACTTAGATATATGTCATAACAATTAAGGCTGTTAAGTTACTGTAGTAACTGGAGCACCTAGGTTAAAATTAAATGTAATTTATTTTGAATTTGGAACAAATAATGAGTTAAAAAAAGCTGCTTTGGTGAACTTCATGCTTTTTTCGTTTTGAAGGAGTTTAAGTTTTGCATGAAAATTGTAAATTGGTGAATTCTCAACGGTTTGATTTAAAATTTACTTAAAACTTATGCTTAAATTTTCGCAAATTTATAATTCAAAAATTTTAAACTATCGAGAAAAACAAAAATAAATAAAAGGTTCCGGTTGTAATTGTAGCTCAATTTCAAATAAACTCGAATTCCGCACAGGTTGAAAAGCGCTGCGACAGATCATCATAGCTCATTACCTCCGTGTTGGTCTAAATATCCCACACCTCAAACAACCTCCCATAGCACCCATCCAAAATCAGAAAACGCCCAACCAACGGCTTGGTTCAAAGAAGTGCGTGTTTGCAAACTGCAGCTCTGCTCCACTGTGCCCTGAAGATGCGACACGAAGAAAGAGGAATAATTGGATCCACATGACACATTCCACCGGGTTCGGTTATTGCAAGCGGATTGCCATGGGGAAGAAGTGGCAAAACGGTGGCGCTCCAACGCCTCCGGGCTGAAAGTGCGATCTTATCAAAAATGAGTTACGCGTCGGTCGGTTGGTCGGTTAGCAGTTTTCGCACCAGTCCCCGATGACTCTTTGCCACTGCTACCGGAGGCCAAATCTGATAGCAATCTCAATAAAACAGACTGCCTTAAACAACTCAAGATAGAAAGTTGACCCCCCCCATCAGAAATAACACAGAGCAACTTAAAGTTCATCGATCCTATCGGTCGCTATCGATTGTCGCTTCGGAATCGATTACGTCACTTTAACGGTGAATCATCGGAAAATTATTTCCAGACCCAGCTTTTCCCGTCTCACCATCGTTCCATGTTGAATGGCGTCATTCTTGAGCAGTAGGTCTATGGCGTTCGGTATTCCTGTTGCTTCAAAGGAATTTTGATGGGCGCCGGGTACATTCCTATCGCACCTGCCTTCGCAATGTAGTGAAATTTCCGTTTTTCATGTTAAATATTTATTTACGTTCGCTTTCTTCTCTCTGTCCCAGGCGTCATTTGAATTGTCACCGGCATTGATGCAGAAAATTGCTAATGCGGGGAGTGATGAGGGGTTGGGAGCTGGAGTGGTGAACTGATAATAAAAGCTCAATAGGAAAACCCTCAAGCATCATCAAACTGGCATGTACCTATGGTGATGTGCTTGAGGGAGGAGGGGGCATGCGAAAGCGAAGGTGTAGAAATACGTAGGTATCAAACAGTGATCGATCTTCTCAACGGGAAATGGTATGAGAGATTCGTGTGAAATGGAAAATTGTGATGCCTCATGATACCCAAGATAACATTGTTGGACTGAATGGAAAAATTGAGCTCTGTGCGTCTGGGAAAAGTATGTTCATTGCGAAGAATAGAGGAAGAATGCTAAGAAACAATTCTTTATCAATTAATTGGGCAATATTTTAGCAATTCAATAGTCCGACTCATCAATTAGTGCATCATTTTCTTCAATTAGTGCTTTTTCCACCAAAACTTTCCTCAAGCCCTTTGATCTGAATTCATTAAAAAAAATCGCACCATGGTTTTCTCCATATGCAACAAATTGCAGCCAAGGAAAAACCATGGAAGCGATAAACGCTTTGGTGATTCCTGTACCAGCCAGTCAGCGCCCAGAAAAGGAAACAAAAAAGAACCTCAAACTTCAAAACCTCGTAAAACTAGAACTTTAATTTCCTCTGCCGTTTTTTTCCCCAATCGTAGCGACTAGTTTTGCTACTATGGTAGCTCTGAATCCTTGGGGCGTCGTCGTAGTCGTCGGCGTCGCCATGGTGGTGGTTGGAAAAATCAGAGTTTAGCTGGCAGACTGGCGGTCGGCGGTTGGGTGAGGTTCATATTTCTTCATCCATGGCTTCATGGCTGACTTTTTCGCCAACTTGTTCACATTTGTGCTTGCACTCTTACTGACAAAAAAAAAAACTGTTTGCTCTCTTAGGATGAAGGTTGGCGGTGAGGAGCGATGAACGTTGAAAGCGGAATAGTTTTTGCGCGCACATACACGCGAGACGGTTCTTTTATAGACTCTGGCGAAAACCTCTCTATCCGACAGTTTAATTGCTTACACGGTGTAAAAGTTCGCCCTCGGGCAAAGGTGCGGAAAATTGCCAACGTCAAACTGTGATTATGTGGGAAAATTGAACCACCAAATGGCAGGGACGGGGAGGGATGGGATCACACGCCGCTTAATCAAAGCGTGAGTAGTTAAAACTACTGACTTTTCCCTGAACTGTACTAAGGAGAACATCAAAGCCCTTCCCTCATAGGCACTTTTATAAATGGAAATTCAATTTCCTGTCTTGAATACACACTGCGAACAACTTCGTAGGCGCTGAGGGAACTTTTTTTTTGCGGGAAAAACAAACTAAAACTTTAATTGAAATGTGAACCCAAGGAAGGCATCAGGCAGTCAGTCAGTGCTAGAGAAGCGCGTCGGAAGTCCGCCGTCGGAATGCATTTTCAATTATTTAAGATTTCACTTGGTCCACCTCGCCTTTGCGTCTCCGACCTTCCTGATGAAGCAGGTTGCACCACATCCGATTAAATCATCCCCGTTGAAGTCGGCTCGGAACGGGTTCATTTCCGGCTGCCGATGATGATTGACGGACGATGGGCCGTTCTGCACACAGTCAGTTAGTGATGTGGTGCATTCGGATAATATGCGCTAACAACCCTTTCCAAGGGTGCCTAACGTGATGAAGTTTGCGGAAAACGTTGCATAGTTTCCGGTTTTCTTATATATGACTTTGATTGGTTTATATTGGAAAAGTAGGTTTGTTTGGTGGCCTCCTTATTGGTTTTCTTAATGCAGTTTTTTTTTGACCCATTTGAATAAATTTTGCTTCAGCAGAAGGACTAGCCTATGTTGACAGCTTGAACACTGGATTCCGTTTGTATTATTTCAAGATAGTTATGGAAAAATGCTGTGATGTGTGCGCGTAGATACATCCGATTGAATAAATAAATCTGTTTCGAACGAAATATCTAAATTATGTATGTTACAAAAAGCGCGCGAATTCCGAAAGCCGTGCGAGACAACCGAAGCGAGAAAAAAAGGCTTATAATCATTTAAAGAGTGCCACCAAAATAAATGTGATAACCTATGTTGGAAAGTTGATTAATTTTGGTTTCCTCCTCAGATATTCTACTTATTTTACTTATGAGCTTTGTTTCGATTTGGATATTCTATCGCACGTAACAATCATTTCAAAATTTCGCGACCGTAGCGAACAAATTCTAAACTACATAAGGTAAAAAAAATTGTAAGCTCTACAGAATTGCAAATCACTTCTGCGCAAGCTCCGTAGACGTAGGCGCGTTGAATCCGACCGCCGCGAAAAGTTAAACATGCATCAATACCACATAAGGAAAGATCGATTTTACGTAGGGTCTAGTTCATAGATTAACATTGACTGCTGTTTACAAATGTAAGTACTTGAACACTAAGAAATAAGTTAACTGAAATGCTTTGACCGCATATATAAGAGATTTCGCGTATTGAGAATAATATAGTAATCGAGTATAATACACTGAGGGGAAAACAACACCTACAAAAGATTAAAAGTTATCAATTGTCACAAGCCTCTACTTTTACTTATTTCCTAAACTATTCCTCTCCTTGTTAATTAGCTAAGCTTAGTAATCCCCATTGCCTGCCCATGGCGCCATTCTATCGCGGCATGAGCCAGCAACGCCCGCCATAAACCTACCGTCTCCACTATAAAGCATGAAATTAAGCCCGCCCACCAACAGCAAGGTGCAAAAACTAGC